GAGTGAAACTCCGTCTCAAAAAAAAAAAAAAAAAAAAAGCACCACCTTTAGTGACTACTAGGTGCTGCCAATGAGTTAATCTTTCTGGGGTAAATCCCAATTAATGTAGCACCAGGTTAAGGCTTTTAAAGTACATCCGTTTTTACCGAAATGTATTCAGAATAGCTTTAGCTCCTTAAATATATTGAGCCTTTATAAATTTGGCCAAATTATTGAATTTCTGTTCTGTATTAGGTACCGAGAAAGCTAAGAGAGGAATCAGTCATATTCTGCTCTCCAGAGTTTAGTCAAGAGAGGGATAATGTATTATTATACAATCACATATAATTAAAGGCAGAAATAAGTGCTAAATAGAGAATAAGATTTGAGCTGGGCGCAGTGATTCAGGACTGTAATCCCATCACTTTGGGAGACCGAGGCGAGTGGATCACCAGAGGTCAGGAGTTCTAAACTAGCCTGGACAACATGGTGAAACTCTGTCTCTATTAAAAATACAAAAATTAGTTAGGTGTGGTGACGCATGCCTGTAGTCCCAGCTAGTGGAGAGGCTGAGGCAGGAGAACTGCTTGAACCCAGGAGGCGGAGGTTGTAGTGAGCCAAGATCACACCACTGCACACTGCAGCCTGGGCAACAGAGCGAGACTCTGTCTCAAAAAAAAAAGGCCGGGCACAGTGGCTCACGCCTGTAATCCCAGCACTTTGGGAAGCCGAGGCAGGTGGATCACAAAGTCAGGAGTTTGAGACCAGCTTGGCCAACATGGTGAAACCCCGTCTCTACTAAAAATACAAAAATTAGCTGGGCGTGGTGGTGAGCGCCTGTTATCCCAGCTGGTCACGAGGCTGAGGCAGGAGAATCGCATGAACCAGGGAGGCAGAGGTTGCAGTTAGCCAAGATTGCACCACTGCACTCCAGCCTGGGCGACAGTGAGACTTCATCTCCAAAAAAAAAGAGATTTGAATGCTAAAGAAGCAGCAGTCAATCCTCATTACTCATCTACCAGTTATTTATTTGGAACTTTTTGTCTGCCCAAGATTGTGCTAGATACTGCTGTATAAAAAGAAAAGGTAAAATTCCTACTCTCAAATAATTCACAGCCTAGTGAGTGGGAGGAAATCAAGGAAGGCCTTGAAGAAAAGGTGACACTTGAACTTTGAAAAATGAATGAACTGGGCTTCATAGGTAGAAAAAAAAATGCAGGTGCAAAAGAGTGCATGATTGGCCAGGCGCAGTGGCTCATTCCTGAATCCCAGCACTTTGGAGGCTGAGGTGGGCAGATCATGAGGTCAGGAGTTTGAGACCAGCCTGGCCAACATGGTGAAACCCCATCTGTCCATCTCTACTAAAAATACAAAAATTAGCCAGGCATGGTGGCGCATATCTGCAGTCCCAACTACTCAGGAGGCTGAGACAGGAGAATCACTTGAACCTGGGAGGCAGAGGTTGCAGTGAGCCAAGATAGTACCTCTGCACTCTAGCCTGGGCAACAAGAGCGAAACTCTGTCTCAAAGAAAAAAGAATGCATGACATTTTTGGAACAGCAAGTCATCCAGTGTGGTTAGACTGTAGGAAACTAAATCTGAAAAGACATTGTCAGTTACATCTTGGGTTTGCCTCGACTTTTACTGGAAAGTTCTACAGACTTAAGAGAAATATTGAAATGAACAGGCCGGGCGTGGTGGCTCAAGCCTGTAATCCCAGCACTTTGGGAGGCCGAGGCGGGTGGATCACAAGGTCAAGAGATCGAGACCATCCTGGTCAACACGGTGAAACCCCGTCTCTACTAAAACTACAAAAAATTAGCTGGGCATGGTGGTGCGTGCCTGTAATCCCAGCTACTCAGGAGGCTGAGGCAGGAGAATTGCCTGAACCCGGGAGGCGGAGGTTGCGGTGAGCCGAGATCGCGCCATTGCACTCCAGCCTGGGTAACAAGAGTGAAACTCCGTCTCAAAAAAATAAATAAATAAAATAAAATAAAATAAAATGAACAATTTCCAGGAAAAATGCACTAAACTATTATACATGAAATGTAGCCATAATAAATTACACTTCGGGATATAATGCTTGTTTATATTTGCATATCATTGATGATTTACGCCAATTTTATTTTTTTTTGGGACAGAGTCTCACTCTGTCACCCAGGCTGGAGTGCAGTGGCACAATCTCGGCTCACTGCAACCTCCGCCTCCCGGGTTCAAGCAATTCTCCTGCCTTAGTCTCCCAAGTAGCTGCGATTATAGGCGCCTACCACCACATCTGGCTAATTTTTGTATTTTTAGTAGAGACAGGGTTTCACCATGTTGGCCAGGCTGGTCTTGAACTCCCGACCTCAAGCTATCTGCCTGCCATGGCCTCCCAAAGTACTGGGGTTATAGGTGTGAGCCACTGCACCTGGGACTTAGACCAATTTTTAAAAATTAGGGAGTAATATTTTGTCACTGTATTCTATTTTGAATATACTGTAAGAATCCTCTCCTTTGAAATACACATGTCAGATCATCTGGTAATGATTTCATTATATTAGGAAAACAAAACATGCTTTAATAAGTTAAATGGAAAGTTTTGTGGATGTTTAGTTGTTTTGGTTTTTTTTTTTTTGAGACAGAGTTTCATTCTTGTTGCCCAGGCTGGAGTGCGATGGTGCGATTTTGGCTCGCTACAACCTCCGCCTCCAGGATTCAAGTGATTCTCCTGCCTCAGCCTCCAGAGTAGCTGGGATTATAGGTATGCGCCACCATGCCTAGCTAATTTTGTATTTTTAGTAGAGGCGAGGTTTCCCCATGTTGGTCAGGCTGGTCTCAAACTCCAGACCTCAGGTGATCCACCCACCAAAAAGATGTTCATCAGCTGGGCTTGGGGGCTCAACACCTATAATCCCAGCATTTTGGGAGACTGAGGTCAGAGGATCCCTTGAGCCCAGAAGTTTAAGACCAACTTGGACAACAGAGGGAGATCCCATCTCTACAAAAAAATAAATTAGCCAGGCATGATGGTGTGTGCCTGTAGTTCCAGCTACTCAGGAGCCTGAGGTGGAAAAATGGCTTGAGCTCGAGAGGTTGAGGCTATAGTGAGCTGTGATTGTGTGACTATGCTCCAGCCTGGGTTACAGAGTGAGTCCTTATCTCAGGGAAAAAAAAAAAAGGGGGGATGTTCATGCTCATAAGTAATTAGGTAAATATACATAAGACCAATGAAATAATGTCAGGAGTTTTTGGGTCCTGGAGTATACTTACAAAAAAAAAAAAAAAAAAAAAAAAAAAAGCTATAGTAATTCACTTCATAAAGCAAAACCACATTTGATCTACTTCTTTATATATCTGTATTTCCATTTATCAAATTTGTTTAAAGTAAGATAGACCAATAATGAAGACTTCTAATTAATTTGTCAAGTCACATAATGAAGGCTTTCAGGCATTTTTGTGGAGTGTTTTTACTATATGAGTTTAAACTTTTATATCTAAATTGATTTCTTTGTATAATTATCTTTCACACACCTGTAGCTAAGAAAGAGTATAGCCTGTTTTTTGAGTCAGGGTCTCGCTCTTGTCAGCCAGGCCAGAGTGCAGTGGCAAGATCATGGCTCACTGCAGCCTCAAATTCCTAGGCTCAAGCAATCCTCCCACTTCAGCCTCCTGAATAGCTGGGACTAGAGGCATCCACCACCATGCCCAGCTAAGATTTTCTATTCTTTGTAGAGATGAAGTCTCACTATGTTGGCCAGGCTGGTCTCGAACTCCTGGGCTCAAGTAGTCCTCCCACCTCAGGCTCTCAAAGTGCTGAGATTATAGACAAGTATGAGCCATTGCACCCAGCTGCCTATT